CAAGATGATGTGTTTCAAGCAAGGGCACGAAAGCTCGAATCGATCGCTGTTTATTTCTGTTTGAAATAAATATTTAATAAAATGTTATTTACAGCAGTTATCTCTTTCTTTTCTTATTTATGTCCTACTGCTCTATCTTCAGGTTGATGTATGGTATGCTTTTCCTCTGAAACGTAAGATATTCTATGGGGAAAAAACCTACAGCATCCGAACATTTTGCCTGCTTACATAAAACGAACACAAAGAAAAAAATCGTTATAAAATTGAAGACTGAAGGCAGCTGACTTGCAGAAACGGCATAAATAATCAACCATCGTAAGGCAACGTCGTATAAAAGGTTTTTGCTTGCGTTTTTCTTCTGTCTCCTTACGAATAGCATAATTGTTTTGAGCTCAGTTCCAATTAAGACTGCATCAGTACCCTATTCCCTTCTATAAATCTTCTTTTGAATGACAAACAAATCAACAATCCTAACCTAATGAAGATAGTCTATAAAAAAAGTGTTTCTTGATGGCGTGTGGGTGTGGGTGCTAGCAAAAGAGAAACCCATACCCACCCACCCACACCCTCGATATCACAGAGTTTTAAGGTCATATTCATTGTGATTTCAGACGCTTTTCTGGTACTTGGTATGGATACGATCCCCGATTCAGGTAAACGGTTCATTGGTATCTTGAATGACCCGAATCTAATGTGTATGCCCATCAGTGGTTATCAAGAATGCCCCTTATTATCGCTAGAAGAAAGTATACAGCCACTTAAATCAATATTATCTGACATAGAAACCTATGCCCATGCTTCCAAAGTGCTATGTGATAATCCGCCCGCAGATGGCTTGACGCGAGATGAATCAGCGTCTATAAGGCTCTATTCAATGGAATGGTATCCTACTGATAAATGTCTTTACGTTACCTTGAATGAAACTCTCCGTTCAGCTGATCGTAATAAACTCAAACCTTGGTTCCCATACCTTAAGCTGATCCTCACTGCATTAAAAAAGGTACCGAGTTTTTACGGCACCGTTTATCGGGGTGTGAAATTGGATTTGACAAAAGAATATTTTCAAGGAAAATTATTTACCTGGTGGGGTTTTAGTTCATGTACAACATCGGTTGCTGTCCTCCAGAATGATGGTTTCCTGGGAAAGACTGGGCTGCGAACTATATTCAGCATTGAAACGAACTCTGCCGTACACATTAAAAATCACACGTATTTTCCAATGGAAGAGGAAGTACTGCTTCCGCCAGCTATACAGTTTAAAGTGGTCTCGATTCTTGATACAGGGAATGGACTGAATATGATTCAACTTAAAGAGACATCTCCACTATTTCCTGATTTGGCTCTCCCATCCCCCAAAAAAGTGTCAAGTATGTCTCAAATTTCGAATCAATCATCTCATGTGGTAACTGGCAGTTTTGTTCAACCAAATACAGAGTAAGTTACTAAACCATGATGGAGCACAGAGATTGCATACGTCACTATCATTGCATTTGAAGCACTTCACATGCTATTCAAGACAATCAGTACGTTTTTGAGTTTTTCGGATTGTTGGATATCGTTATCAGTCATTCGGTTAGTTGCGAAAAGTGAATTTCATTGTGACTGTTCTATATGACAGTAATATTGGATTTTTGAACGAAAGATAATAGCAAATAAGGCCTCAAAGTTTCCCAAAATATCATCTGTTCACAAGGAGATTAAAAGGTGTTCTTGTTTCTTAACGGTCATATCAGATTACCAGTGATTAGGAAAAGCATCTCATTAGTTAGAGTTTTTCCGTGATTGGAATGAGACAAACGTTGAGACTCGTGTTGATAGTAAGAAAAGATCCCACCGAGTTAGGCACCGTTCCGTATTTTGAAGTTCTTTCAGTTACGAAAAGCCTAAAACACGTAAGCATTTGTTCAACTTCTGGATTATAGGGACGTCTTCCGTCTACGAATTATCACTCTTAGATTCATGCATAGACTTCAAGGAAAGCGTAGATTGCTCTTATGCACTTAGCAATTGTACAGGAAGAGTCACTCAGCATTATTTTTATTCTTTCTGGAGGCAAGTTTTCAAATGACTGAGACGATTCTTACTCTGGATACCGTGTCGCTGTTGCAGTAGATGGAGTATAGTTGTGAATATGGGAATTTCATTAGTAGGCTAGACTGCACCTTCTTCTCCGTTAACCTACACTCAAATACTCGCGTTTCTAAATGGAGAAAGTTCTTCGGTGCAGGATGTACTTGAGTAAACGCATCATATCCGTAGGTCGATTGAACCGGCGAACAAGCATATAATGATCTCGTATTCGCCTAGTGACAAGGATCTGGCAGATGCAATAATTAAGGAACTGGAACAAAAGCAATACATGATTTGGACTCATGAAGACATAATGCATAATGTAGCTGAGGGGTAAGCTCGGTCGAAATTGATCTTTGAGGATATTTGAATTCTTTCTTTTTGTTTTAGTTTAGCCCATGGCATACAGAACGCTTGGGTTGTCATTTGCTTGATAAGAGACACTTATGAATCCTCAGATGACTGTCGACGGCAACTCCTCTTTGCAGATAAACATAAAAAGCCAATTATTCCCATTATAACTATGCCAAACTGGAGTCCAACCGGTTGGCTTGAGTATTCGGTGACAAATATTCACTGTATAAAATGGGATTCTGTGGAACCTAACAATGTGACACCGAAAATTCCAGAACTTTTGCTATGGCTTCGTACCATCCACACGGGAGTCAAGCCCAATCCTAAAGAAGTAAGAGCAGCAAGAGGAAATGCGCCTGCACCAGTAACCTCAATCGTACCAGTATCGCCAACATTGTCAACATCGCCAAGACGCTCGGCAGCACACAGTCCTGTCGTCATTACTCCGTCTCGCTCAAGGAGAAATAAGTGACTTAGATCAGCTGAAAATCAAAGAGATTTCATCGTAATTCATTTTAACTCGTGATAACTCACTTTCAATCATTGTAAATCACTAGAAAATCATCTAAAATAACCAACACTTAATTCATACACGGCTTTCCACGAAATCAAAGAAAATTATATTTGATAGCGTGTGTTAAACACGGGTCTATGTAATTTCGCCAATTGTATATTTGTCGTTGGCAAACTTCCTTATGAAATTCGCCAATTGGCGAACTACTAGTGTGACATTTGCTAATTGTAATCATTGAATGTACGAACTAAGCTCAGTTTTCTGAAGTTATTTTTATTTCAAATAAAGAAAGAACTGTGGTAGTTATATGAAAAGCTTGTTAGCGCAGTCCCTTCGGGACAATTATGGAACTCGCACATATCTCTTAGGCTTACTAAACTAATGCAAAATACCTAGCGAAAAACCTATCTTAATTTCAAAACTCTATAATTAGGGCATTACCTATTTGCTTATACCAGTAATGAGGGCTATTTGTTACTTCGTATCTCTAGCGATGACCGATACTACTTCTGCAATAGTACCCATACCTGGTTGCTATGGTCTGGCATGGTAGCACCTCACTGTAAATAAAAACCGTATATTAATATACACTTAAAGGGTTTATGATACGTTGCACTTTCATAAACCCTTCAAAGGGTATATTACTTTTGTTCCATACCCCTAAAAGGGTTTATTACTTTTGTTCCCTACCCCAAAAAGGGTTTATTACAATTTCCATTCAGACAAGCGCCTTAAAAAACGCGTTAACAACCTTTCAGAAAAAAGAATCCAAAGACAAATGAGTACACTATGATTCTTTTTCGTTTGTGTTTACAAGGCGCATCATAACGTATTTTTTGTAATTATCCATCCGATTAAAATTTTGGAACTTACTGCGTTGTCCTAGGTTCGATCATGTGATTAATTGGTTGATAGTCCAAGATGTTATCCATTCGATCAGTCGTATGATATCAATATGAAGTAAGAAATGCTACTTAAATCAAACGAAACTTTATATGAAACTGAAGA